TGTGTGTGCGCTTGAGCCTTCACTGTTCACAATAGGGAAAGAATGCCTCAGTCCCATATCATGAGTGTGACTACTCCACAAACGAGAGGCTTATTCATGCCAACATGGTAGACTACACAGGGGGCTGAAAACCCGTGTGCTCTTGAGACAAGGCAGCTTGTGCAGTCGTGGCAAGAAAAAAAATATCCCTCATAGCCAAAACCACAAAGCCAAATTGTGTTCAGCAAGACTGCTCTTCATTATTCATCCTCTGGAAGACTAAAGAATAAGAAAATGTAATAAGCCACACCTTGAAAAGTTATGGCAGAGTGGCATGCTACAACTTGACAGAAGCATTAAAAAGAGAAAGGAATCACGTATGCTAATCTAAATCACCTCACCTCAGGGTTGAGTACTTCCCATTTTCCTCCAACAGCGGCCCCTTAAAATCTCACTCTCTCTAATAAAACCTTCCTAACAAAAACCTCATAAATGATATGCTGAAAATAAACATACATTCATTCTTAAGTGTACTGCTTGCTGTGTGTGCATGTATTTGTATGTGTCTGTGCTTATATGTGAGCTTGTGCGTGTGTTTGGGTTTTAATGTATTTGTCCCTATTATTCTTCCCATTTTAGACTTGAAGTCCTGGAAAAAAAGAGATCCCGTCTAATTTATTTATATTCTAACCACAAGCCTCAAGAGGTTGCAATAATAAGCCCAATTTACTGCTGACACTAACTAGCATCCAAGAGAAATTCATGAAAGCCATATTTTTAAATTGGGAGCCTTTCTGAAAGGGTCACGATCCACCTTAAGATCAGTATTGCATATTCAATATTAATAAGTACAGAGACCCCCCCCCCAAAGCATCACCAAAACCAACCTGCCTAGCTGAAACCAGAAACCAAAAAGGAAAAACATTATCGGAAGCCCCTGGGACAGTTATAAAAAACAATACCCATCTCTTAAGGTTCAAATTTAGAATAATCCCAGGCTGCTATTAGCATGTCCTAGAGCCTAAGACACAGCTAGAGCATAATTTCTTGCTATCTTGATTTCAAATATAACTTCATATTATATTTGGGAATTTGGTTTTTCTTTGTTTTTAAACAAAAGCAGCACCATATTACCAAACTGTTTCACCCCCTTTCACAACTGAAGTTGTAGGGATCTCTTTTCCAGGGCAAAGAGCTCTATACTAGGACTAATGGATTGATCATGTACTTGGAATCCCAATCATATTTCTTCTTCAAGTCTGCACTTCTAAAGAGGAGACAAACACCTCAGTACCAGCGATCCGCTAGGATGCTTTCTGGAGGAGATTAGGATACTAATGTCAACAAAAACTAGATGCAACTGCTCCTAAAGTGCAGAGATGCTGGCACACAGCAGGCACTCAGCTTACAGATGATCAGACCAACTAATCACATGTGAATAGTCAAAGAACAATATCAAAAAACAAGACTGCTTGTATTATATAAACAATCAAAACCAGCCCAGAGATGACCACCGAGCCACCACAGGAGGCTTCAGAACTGGGGCGGTAGGGGGGACGAGGGCTTCAGCCACACTCCTCTGACATCTGCACCAAGCTCAGCAATGACCAGGCCACCACTGGAAGCCCCCTGGTCTCCCATGCAGGAAGGAGGGGGCTGCCACAGGCCTCAACTCTGCTCCTCTTTCCTCCCACCATATTTCCTTCCCCACCATATTTCCTTCCCCTCCCCCTCCCCTTCCAGCTACTCCACGCCAACATCATAGAATGTAAAAAAAAAAAAAAAAAAATTAATAAACTTTAAAAAATAAAAAAATAAAATAGAACCAACCACCGCCCCCCACAAAAAAACAAAAAATCAAATGTCGTCTGTAAAAAAATGTAAAACATATAATCCTTACTTAAATATTCATAATTATACCAAAATTATAAGGTAGACATCAAGATGACAGTCAGCCCCATAAAGCAGAAAGAGGTGTAGGTTTCCTGACAGCATGGAAGATAGTTCTAACAGCTACTGATGCCCTCGTGATCGGCCAGCATCTTAGGTAGGGAGGACTGAGACTTAGGAAGAAAAGAGTTTCACCTGACACTCTAGGACTCATGGGCCAGGCCCTGCCACCACAGCAGATCCCTCTGAGAGCTCCCCAGACACAAGACTGTCTAGAAGGATGACAAGACCACTCTTCTCTGCTGGGTTCAGCCTTGGCACTGGTGGAAAAGCAGCCACAAGTAAAAAGGCATCTACTTTCCAAAGTTAAGCAATGAACTAAGAAGGGGAAAAATGGAACAACAGTGTTTTCTTTGCTGAATCTTGGGTACCAAACTAGCTGTATTAGAAATCGCTTTATAACTGAGAACCACAGGAGATAAGAAATATTTCTGAGATCGTCTAGAATCACACCAAGGCAGAAAATCACTTTTATAATACAGTCCCTCATGTTAACAGAGAGAGATATGTAAGAGCAGAAGCATAGAGGGACACATCCATGTCCAGTGACCAAGCCAGGACTGAACTCCTCAGCTCAACTCCCAGCCCCATCTCCTTTCCTGTTCACCACAGTAATGCCAACAGCTAAATACACACATTTCAATACATAAAAATCTCACACAGTACAGTACATGTGAGCCTAACAATTACAGAAGTCAATAATCCCAGGTATTGACCTTATTTTCAATGGCTGTTACAAGGCTTAGTTTATACCAATGTCACTTCCTCCAAAACGAATTAATATTTAAGTAGTAAAATCACACAGGCAGTATTACAGCCTGGGAAAGAAAGGCCCTCAAGGCTCCTCCAAAAACCAACACTTCAAGCATGATAATTTTCAGAGCAACTTATTCTATCCTAATTCCTGTAAGGCTGGTTAAAGAGCAAATAATACTAAAACATATTAAGTATAGACAATTTAATGCAAGTAAAACCAAACCATAAGGGCCGGCCCGTGGCTCACTCGTGAGAGTGCGGTGCTGATAACACCAACGCCCCGGGTTCGGATCCCATATAGGGATGGCCGGTTAGCTCGCTGGCTGAGCGTGGTGCTGACAACACCAAGTCAAGGGTTAAGATCCCCTTACCGGTCATCTTTTGGGGAAAAAAAAAAAAACCAAACCATAAGACCAGTTAGCTTAGGAACTGCATATAGGTCTCCCTTAAATGTATAAGTGAAATTTAAAGTTTCCCACAGTTTGTAAAAGCAGAGATGAACTTAGAGAGCCTTTTGTGAATAAACTGTCTGAATTCAGTGGAAAATTAACCATTCAAAAGTTTATTTTGGGCTTCTTAATTGGCTTGCCCCATTTCTCCAAAGGAAAAAAAAGTCTTAAATTGATCCCTCAGTCTATAAAAGGGGAAATAAAATCTTAACTCCAAAACAGATTGTGGCGCTCCAATGCTTGATTTGGGTTGACAAGCCGTGGCTGTCTTCTCAGCTGGCAACAATAAAATCCACCAGTAAAAAGTCAAGTTTCCAAATGCTCCTCTTTGTTCTTGGTGAAGAAATAAAGTCAAAAGTTGTGAAGACCAAATGCAACTGACATTAAGTTCAAACCCCAACTCCAAAATCAGTTAAGTACAGTTACAATACTATAATATACTTATTTGCCACTCAACAGCAATTTGTCCCACAGAAATAAAAGTATCCATGTAAAAATAATTTTCAATTTAATAAAAGATTCTCTCATACAATTTTCAATTTATTGAAAAGATTCACCTTTGCCAATAAGAAGGTGCATTTGAAAACACTTACAAAATTTGTTCCCCAAAGGCATTCTTTTCCCTACTTCTGTAGTGAGATAATTCTACTGTGTAATATCAGATTGATCTGGCCACTAAAGTAAAAATCAGATGTTAAAATAAAACAAGTTAGTCATGAGCATCTCTGAAAAAAAGTATAAGAGAACTGGAAGTTTTCCCAATGAGAGTTTTCCCAAGGAAAAAACATCAAAATATAATGGGAAACAATACTTTGAAAATCACTTTATTGTGTCCACTTTCAGGATCACATGGTCCATTATGATGAGGTGTACCTCTACTGTGCATGGCTCAGACACAGGGGATCCACTTCCCCCACTGTTTTTAGCAGAGTGGAAACAGCTGTAATGTGACTCAACATCCGCATCCTCACCAACACTGAGCCCTTATCATTAGAGCTCAGGACTCATCAAACTCATTTTCCTCCTGAAAGCTAACTAAAAAACAACTGCTTCCAGGCTCTCTTCATGTTTTTTTTTTTTTTCCTTCATTATTATTTGCAAATCTGGGATTTGCTGATAAAGTAAATGCAGATTTTGATCTGTAGTATTCATGATTGGTCAGCAAAAGCAAAAAATTCCTATCTTATCTCCCATCTTGGAGCAGGGTCTCCAGGAGGATAAAGTAAGGAGAAAGAACTTGGAAACCCAGTGAAGTTGAAATACCCACAGAGCAACTCTCAGTAAAAAGCCATGATTTCTACCTTGTTAACACTATTTAAATCCAATGCTAAAACTTATTACTGTCCAGAACTGAAATCTGTATTGTTTTGGAAAATTTTCTTGTGCTCTCATTTCATTGCTATTTAAAAAGCCAAAAAGTCTCAGTCCTCATGACTTTACAAAAAAAGAGAACATCACCTTACAAATTTCTACTCATTTAAAAATATAACTGTTTTTAAAACTTTACTTTGGAGTAAAAACGTAACTGTTTTAAAACTGAACTCCAAAAGAGAAACATTTCTGAAAAGTGGATGATTGTAAGCCAAATCATAAAATTCCTATGCCTGCCTGTGCTCACAGCACCATTATAATAATTTTTTTCATCCACAAGGGCACGCCCAGAACAGAGGTCACCATTCTGTTTAATGATTTTCTGTTAGAGAAAAACTGATGTGGTTAGTAAGGCGTATGGAACTTAACCTCAATTACATCAGAGTCTAATGGTCTCAGCAAACACACAATTCTTAATGAACTGTCGATCTATTACAGAAAAAATATGGAGACTACCAGAGGGTGTCTAACAGAATGAAAGGTCAAATTACTTACCTTATGCAAAGGCAGCACGAGGAATGCTCCTCCCCCACTCGCTTCTATGATTATGGCAACAAATCTGGGATTGACAGCACAAAAGGAACTATCCCAGGTCACACGAGAAACCCGGATGTCATCATAGCACTGGTCATTTTTTACTGCTTGTCCAAATACATGCCGAAACTTGCTTTGTCGTACCACTCGCCTCATCGTGTCTGCAGAAGAAGAGCAAGAATTATGTTAGAAATATGCACCAAACTGAAAGCTTTACTATTACAAATGAAAAGCTCCAAGTAGGAAAACAGAATGGTATGGCATTTTGTCTGCTCTCCTAAAAAGTAGCCAAATTGCAAATCCAAATTTCCTTTAGCAGCACATACCCAGAGAAAACTGCAAAATGCGTCAGGGAAAGAATTACACATTTAGAAATGAAAAATCCCTAATTCAAGATCCAGAAACATATCACCAGTTTTAATTTCAGGAGAAAGATTAAGGCAAAGAGTAAAGGAAAATTAGCCTTTCAGGGTTAGGTGGGAACTGACAGATAATTCACTCCCTTTTATAGTTACAGATGAGGAAACTCCAAAGTGAAGTTATTTGGTAGATGTGAAGCAGAAGAAAGCTTAAAAACAAGTTATGATTTTGTGGCATTTTCCTCAGCCTGCCAAGGTAATTTTTCAGTTTTTAAACATTTTCCCCAGACATCAGCACTCTGCCGAGGCTGTGCCTTGCTCCCCAGAGCATTTCCACAAGAACTGTGTGTAGTAAGGAATTCAAGAGACATGCAACCACCCTTGTCTTCAAGAGCCTTCTAAATCTCCTTCTAACACAGACGTAATCATCAGAGCAAACCAGTACTAAACAGCCCAATGCTGAGGTGCTATGTGGTGAGAAACAGGAAAAATCAGCCTAAGGCAGCTGAATGGATCAAGAGCCAGGTCTTGGAAAAGAGAGGCAAGTATTTCAATAGAAAGTAATGTGATCAAAGTGATATATAGGATGCCAGTAAGTCTGGTAATAGCTGGACCGATTAGACAGAAAGAAGCTAAAAGCTAGGTACTGGTCTAGGAAGCTATGACAATAAACCAGGCCTGGGAAAGGCCTGGAATGATATGGCAGTAGCAGTTGGACAGAGAAAAGGAAAAATGCAGGGACGATTCTGGAGAGGAAATGAAACCAGGATGGGTTTTTTCACATCAGGGCTGATCATTCACCACAGCCACTTCCCGAGAAAACCAGGGAATCTGGGGGGAGGGGTAGTGACACAGAGTTGGGTTCCTGGGCTTCTTCATGGGTCAATTCAAACTCCAAATTTACTAGATTATCTGATAGACATGTACACTGCAAGATTTGTGCTTTAGGATGACCAACCCTTGCCTGATTAAGGTTTTCTAGAGAGCAACCAATGTAATTTTTTTACCTGCTACTACAGGATTTGGTTAGAAGGAGCCTAGACAAAACCTAAGTAGAAACAGAACACGGTCAAACCTGGACAACTCAGCTGAAAACCAGATCCCCATGTACAGAGAAGGGCTACCACCTATCCACGCATGCCAGATGGGACACATGGTGGGCTGCTGCTAATTTCTTTCCTCTAATTCCCTTCCTCATGGCCCTGGGCCCATGGCTAAATACAGAGAGAGAGAATTTATTTTTGCCAGATCCTCCTTCTACCCTTCCAAGTCATGTGCAAAAGCAGCCTCTCTCCAGTGCTGGGACATGTGGCTAGGCTGAGGCAGCCAAGGGGCAGGCAACTGAACATCCGTGTTACTTGGCCCAGATGTTGCTAGGCCTTTCCAGCTAACTACCAGGACCATACAGTTTGAACACTTGATAGAAAAGATGACAAATGACATGCTTACATTTGGCCAGGGTCTTTCATTTGTGAAATGGTATGAGTCAGATAAGCACGAGTTAGATAAGACAAGCATGAGTTAGACAAGACAGCTTCCATGAGGTGGTAAAAACCAAGATGAAAGCACATCCATACAAAAAGCCAATGCACAGCCAGCTGGTCTCATGATCCATTTCCCTACACAACCATCTGTACAAGTTACAAAAGCTGGAATCCCCACCACATCTTACAGCAAGTGTTTTAAAAGTTAACATAGAAGAAACAAGGATAGCACCGTGTCAAAGAGTCAATATCCTTCATATATAAAGTTCTTACAAATTCGTACAATTAAAACCCAACAGAAAATTAGGCAAAAGACATGAAGAGGTAATTCACAAAAGAAACACAAATTTACAAAAGAAATACCAATCCTTCCTGAAATACTAAGAAGATGACAGTATAAGAGCAGGCATAAACACCAAAGGATAAGAGAACTGAAAAGGAGCCTACAAGAGGGCAAATGTGACAAAATCTTGGAAGATGGAAAGTTGTCATGTACATGTAATTGATTAAATGTGGGTGTTCTCCACTCAGCTGAGTGTCTCAGGAGGAGCTCACAAAAAAGAAGCCAAGGCCCATTGTGAATACCAAGAGCACTCAGAAGAGAAACTGCGCTTCTCTAAAGACAAGGATGTGAGAGAGGGGCTGCAGAGATAACTGACTGAAAGTCTGAATTAGGAGCACCTAGACACCCGGATCCCCTCCCTCCAGGGCTGCACAACTGGAGGACTGGCCCGCCCCTCCCCAGAAGCCAGAAGAGGAGCCCTGGCCTGGATGACACCCAGCACAGGTATAAGCAGGTGTCACGCTGGCAACAGAGTTCTGCACAGGGAGGCCTCCAGCCCCCTGTACCTTCTGGTTCCCAAGATACCAAGATGCCACCCACCCCACCCTGCAAATCAGACTCACTGCCATCAGTGAGTTTCACCACTCAAGGAGCCCCTCCACCCACTCAGGCATCAGGTCAACTTTTAGAGCCTCACTTTTAAATGTGAATGGACATTTGAGGAAGGCCTCTAACTTTAAAAGTAGAAACAATTTTTCCTCTTAACTCAAATACATTAGATACCATCTAACTCACAATCATATAAAGGTTTTTTTTTTTTTTTTTTTTTTTTTGCTTGTTTTGTTGTTGGATTGTTGTTTGGGGTTTTTTGTTTTGTTTTTTGGCAGCTTGCCAGTATGAATATAAAAGATTGATATAAATATGTAAAGTACCTTGTTTTTTTTGAGAGATACTATATAAATCTGCTGGCTGACTTACATAGTAAAATGCCTTAAAAAGTCATTTTCATATTATACATAGTGACAAATTAGTTTCATCATAAATACATCTGGGCAGAATGATATAGAGGTTCTTTTGCTATAATCAGGAAGTAGAATGTCAGCTACAGAACAGAGAGCATCAGAAAAGCCACTGCTTCCACAGTGCTGTGCTGAGTCAGGTATGTCAAAGTGGAGCCTGAAGGGCAGTGTGAGCCCATTCACATCCAAGGTTGAACTTGATCTGGGCTCAGCTGTCCACATATGGCAACAGCTGTTTTTGCTGCACAGAATGTCTCAGGCCCTCCAGGCAAACAACAGAGAATAGCAATTAAGAGAGCAAGCTCCTGACAGAGTCTTGTGAATGAGAAGCACAGCTGTACCATTCACTTCCTGGCCATGCTTAATAGGGCAAGTCAATGACTCTCCATAAATGTCAGATTCTCTATCTGAAAATGGGTACAATGGATATAAAGCTGAAGTGATCAGTAAATGAGCACTTGGTGATGAGATGATGACAGAAGACTACTATGTTATAGCACCTTGTATGGTTAGACACACAAAACTAATCACTCAATAAATGCCAGCTGTTGTTATCATCCTAGTAACTGATGTAAGATAATCTGGATTCAAATACTGGCTCTGCCACTTATTAGCAAATTACTTAACTCCTCTGAGCCTGAGCTTCCTCATCTATAAAACAGAGGGAATGATACCTATAATAAGAATTTAAACCAATGTCTGACAAAGAAGCTGACAGAGTTTGGAAGTGTTGTCCCCTCCAAAACTCATGCGGAAATCTGATCTCCAATGTGGCAGTGTTGGGAGCTGTTTGAGTCATGGGAGTGGATCCCTCATGAATGGATTAATGCTCTCCCTGGGGGTTGGGAGTAGTGAGTTCTTGCTGTATTAGTTCCCATGAGAGTTGGTTGTTTAAAAGATCCTGACACCTTCCTTCTCTCTCTCTTGCTTTCTCTCGCTATGTGATCTGCGTGTACCCACCAGCTGCCTGACACTTTCTGCCATGAGTAGAAGCAGCCTGAGGCCTGTGCCAGATGCAGCTGTCCCAGAATCATAAGCCAATAAACCTCTTTACTTTATAAATTACCCAGGCTCAGGTATTCTGTTATAGCAACACAAAAGGGACTAATACAGAAGCCTAGATCTAGATGACTTCATTAAACATTTGAACAATTAATACCAATTTTTCACAAATTCTTCCAAAAAGAAGAAACACTTCCAAACTAATTGTATGAAGCCAGTATTACCCTAATATGAAAACCAAAGAAATCACAAGAAAACTTACAGACCAATATCTCTTATGAACATAGACACAAAAATCCTCAACAAATACTAGCAAACCAAATCCAGCAACAAATAAAAAGAATTATACACCATGACCAAGTGGGATTTATCCCAGTTATGAAAGGTTGGTTCAACATCTGAAAATCAATGTAACACACCGTATCAATAGAATAAACACATACACACAATCATCTCACACCCAGAAAAAGCATTTGACAAAAGTTAACACCCTTTCATAATAAAATACTCAACAAACTAGGAATAGAAGGAAACTTCCTCAACCTGATAAAAGGCATCCAGAGCTAACACAATATTCAATGGTGAAAGATGCTTCTCCCTAAAAACAGGAACAAGACAAAGATGTCTGTTTTTGCCACTTCTATTCAGTACTGTACTACAGGTTTCTAGCTAGGGTGATTAGTCAAGACAAGGGAATAAAAAACATTCAGATTGGAAAGAAAGAAGTAAAACTATCTCTGTATGCAGATGGCATGAGCTTATATATAGAAAATCCTAAGGAATTCACTAAAAGAACTATTAGAACTAGTAAGTTCAGCAAGGGTGCAGGATACAAGATAAATATACAAAAATCAATCATATTTCTATACACTCATAACAAACAATTCAAAGATGAAATTAAGAAAACACTTCCACCTACAACAGCATCAAAATAAATAAATAGATAAAATACTTATGAATAAACCTAGCCAAGAAGGTGAAAGTCTTGTATTCTGAAAACTATAAAACAAGGCTGAAAGAT